GTCAAACCACGCAGCATCAGTGTAGACATGGGAAAATTGTTGCTGGACGAGAACTCTCCTGCAGAGCCCCTGCACCAGAGGTAACCCTCTCAGCCTCCGGCCTACACACCACTCACTGCCCTGCAGGCTCCCTGTAGATCTGCACTGAGTGTCTCTAGAGGTTACTCTATAGACGATGATTGAATGTGAAGATACAGAGGAGCTGGACTGAGTGTCTCTACAGTTACTCTACAGATCTGAGGATGATGATGATGAAGTGTTAATGCGCAGTGGCCCAGAAGTGAAAAACAAAAATAAAAATGTGTTCAAAACTGAAACAGGTTTCTCACAACGGACATGACGTTGTTGTTAGGTGAGAGGTCAGCGCTGAGTGGAGTGCACATGTTGAGTTCTTGATGCGGCGTTTTTGTGAATTTTCTAAAATCTTCAAAAACCCCACGACAGTGGGATGTGCTGTCCGTGTTGTAGAGGGTAGATTCGTGAAAACCATCCGTTTTACCCACATTGTGGCAAATCTGTAGGATTTCTGCTTCACTAAACCCTCGACAGGGCTCCAGGTCGTTGTGCTGGTGCGCTATAATCTGCAGCAGTATATATTGAAATGCTGTACAGTAAATAGTATAGAAGAAGTACTTCACAACCTTTCTTTTTTCTGCTAGATGAAGGGAAAACCTCTACACTTTCCCAGTTCACACACTTCAGAGACCAAACGAGACAAGAAAGACCTCAGTGGTCTACATCCAACGGGAAAAGCATGAAATCAATGAAATCAAGTCATTCTAAAGGTCTTGCTTTGTCCTTGTTGCCTGTCGTGTCCCTCCCTCTCTCTGCATGCAGGAACTCAAGCCATGGCCACCCCTTGGGCAAGTTAACTCGTCGCCGCAGCAACCTGGAGGTGATAGACACGCCCATTTACGACACCAGCAACATCTACGGCATCTCAGGTGGGCAGCGGTGTGGCCACGCCCCCTGCCCCGCCCCCGCAGGGCAGGCACGCATTCATACACTGGGGGCCCTATGACGAGGAGGGGCGTCAACCCGGGAGTCATGTGGCGGGGGCACAACACTAAGCACAAAAGGGAGCAGACGCAAGCACACTGACACTGACGCAGACGTTTCAGCAGGAGGCTGTTGGTCACACAAACAGACTAGCTAACAGTCCAACACGGCGGTCCTTGGGCTTTAGAGGCATGACTGCCCTTTGAAAAAAGTGGCCGGTGGTTCATTTAGCTGAGAAAATGCAGGTGTGCCTCACGATCTTTTAACTGAACTGTGACCGAAAAGGAAGGACAGGAGCTGGCGTCTTGCCGCCTGATCTCGCCAGGTGAGCGAGAGCTCAGCCCCTTTCCTTCCTGGTCCCCATCGCTGCGTGTGGCGGTGGTGTGCGCCCTGGTTCTGGGGGGGCGCGAGTGAACTGGCAGGCTGCTGCACTTGTCTGACTGCGCCCCTCTGCTCTCCCTCAGCCATGGACGGGGTGCCGTTCGCTCTGCATCCCAAGTTTGACACCCAGATGGACGGCGCTGTGAGTATCTGTTTCTCCCCAGATGCAAGTAGTGTCCAGTCAGTGTGTCTGTATGAACCCCTCTCTCTCAGC